TGCCTCGTTACGGATTCGCCGACACCAACCCACACGGGCTACGGTTCTGAGACAACGATTGTCGAACACTTGAAGACGTCTCAGTTCCACTGCTCGAATAGACCAAGTCTCACAGCCATACAACAAAACAGCCCGTACTGTAGCTTGATACACACGTATCTTCAGATTCAGGGATAAATCATTCTGACGCCATAGGTGTCTCAAGTTAGCAAACGCGGCCCGAGCCTTTTAGATTCATGCGTTCACCTCATCTGTCACACTAAAATCTGAACTAATACAACTTCCAAGATATGCAAAACGCTCCACAACTTCCAGTGCCTCTCCCCAGATTGTAAGTGGCGTGTTCAGTGACTGCACATCTACAAGCATGACCTTACACTTTGTGGGTGCAAAGTGCATACCAAAGCACGGGTATGCAATCACGAGTATGAGAGCAACCTTTATTCAGTTCAGTTCTGTCTGGTCTTAATTACCCATTCTCTAGGCTTTTGCTGATCATTTTTCTCATCCTCATTTTTTGTGTATCGTATGACTCTGATACACAGCAGAAACAGGTTCGGGTGCATAAAACCACGAGGGATCATTCACATTCTCAGACAGGCTGGGAGTATCATTGGTAGCTTCAAAATGGGAGGACAGAGTAACTGAGTTCGCAGCCTCTATTTTATCTATTTTCCTGTATTTTTGGAATAAGTCTGTCGAGTGTGCTAAAGTTCCCTCTCACCTGGGGTCTCACCCGTGAACCTAGATACTGAATGCCATTTGGCCAACACGTCAGGTGCAACAAAAGCCATGAGGTACGGTCAGGGCGAGGATTTTGGAGCTTGCCGAAGCTCATTAACACTGTCCGGAAACAGAAGGCGATAGTGGTGGTCTGAATGTTAATCTGCCACTCGCCTGAATAACAGTTTAAATGCTCCATAGAATTTCTAAACCCCACTGACATCAATCAGATGACTACGGCGATGATCAGTTGCTATACTGTATGACAGCGCGAGTTGTTCCCTAATAATTTGTGTGTTTGCTAATCAAAGTTGTCTTGATTACGCTGTTCTTAAGATGACTATACCGCAGTGATGAGACAACTGAAAAAGGTGCTTCATTGCCTAAAATATTGTTTTCACTGAAGACTACTTAAAAAATTATTAAACATCTCTTAATATCATTCTAGACTTCGAGCATCCCCGGTTCAGTTGTATGCAGGCTCCAATCAAATAACCAGCAAGTAGTTATCTGTCGCAAGAAAGCACGTTCGTAGTATTTACATTGTTTAGATCGTCTACTACTGGCCTAAAAGGAGACTTTAAAACCATTTTTGTCCCTTGTGGACAACTGTGAATTTCTTCACGCAGCTCGGCCGGCCATGAATTTTGGATCTTCTGTATTCTGGGAGATCGGTTCTAACCTTTCCAGTACTTGACACATCCGTTTAAGCTGATATTGACCATTGCCCTGTGTATAAAACTTCGTATTTACAAGCCCAAACCAGTCAGTCAGTCAGTCTTATTGTGTGTCACTCCGTATGTACCTAGTGTGAAAGTAAGCTATGGGTAACTGTATACCTCGAACCAGTCAGTCAGTCTTATTGTCACTTCGTATGTACCTGGTGTGAAAGTAAGCTATGGGTAACTGTATACTGCTGTTCCTGCTCACCAATACGCCAAAAACACGTATATTCCATGGAACCACAGGAACCGGAGACCCATATCTTGCGTCAAAGTGCCCAGAGCACGTGACCATTTGCTCCTCTTTAGAGTAGATCCGAATGACAGACAAAACCAATTAGGAAATAGGCGAATTCTCATAAAATTCATCCAATATTACTGGTCATACGTTCACTCCACCTCTCAACTGGAAATTAAATCCATTTTCTTGCCCTAATCGTTGGGCATTATCAGAGTTGCTAACCTTAAGTCCTAGAATTTCATTTGCTAAAAAATAAGTGGCGGTTTTCATACCTACGAAATGACACTGGCCGTCCCTGTGTTGTAGTTGCTACGGCCAAATGGCGTAGATTTTTCCCTTGAACAGGCACTATCTTTCGATATACCACAATCTCAATAGCTCTAGTCTTTTGAGCTCTCCTCAATTTTATGGAACTGCTTATGCAGTCAAAGTTTGCCAATAAAAATAAAAATTATCAGTTTCCAAAATATTCTTGTGGACGTATTTCAACGCCGTGAACAGTACTATGACTTAATTAATGAAAACTACCCTCAGTAACAGCCTAATAGATTATCAGGTCGAACCTAGGTCGCTTCTTCATTGCATCTCCGCCGAAGTTCCAATGTGGATGGATGAAAAGAATTCAATAAAAAGGATGTCCATGAAAGTGTGGAGGTGTTCAACTCACTTTGGTAAGGTTTCCTTCGGATAACTGGAGAGTGGTGGTGGTGAAAACAGGCACTGCAGCTTATGGCGTTAATTCAGTCCATCTCCCTTCAATACAAGCATCGATTCTAATCGACTGAATATCAGTCACTAACTGTAAAGTGGTGTCACGATAAAACTGATCTTGTTGCGCCCACCAGGTGATCCCCAATCACAGATAACCAGCTATTAGGTTAATAGCCCAAAAGTGTCCACATCTTGTTCTAATATAGCGTGCGCAATTTTCCTGCGACCTGTAGACCTACGAAGACCTATGCGTCCTCGCATCGAAGGAGAGGCAAATCAAAATCCTTGGGCGGATCCTATACAACGGTGGATCAGGATCTTATTAACAGTGAGTCCCATCAGCTTTACATAATTGTTTTATTGAATCGCGGCTACTCAGTTTAAGAACTTCTTGAAGTTCAACCTTTGTGCCCGGAATGAAAACTTCGGCAGCTAATCCTGCTTAACCAGACTATTTTAAGCAAATAGCAACTCATCTGGTACTGTAGTGATGAATCGTTTTCTAGGCAGCTGCGCATTTGTCTGGCTTATAAAAGTGCATGAGTAAACAGCAGGTCCACACAACCCGCTTGTATTTTTATTGGAAGCCCCCAATCTAATCATACAGTTTTGATGCAGTTTTTTGTAAAACTGCCACTGCGGTCATGAATGTCCTTTGCTTATCACCCCATGGACCGGTCGTCGAAGAATTTACCTGGTCTAATATGGGAGGCACATCGCTCTCAAACCAGTTCCACTTATTCTTTATATTATTATTAGGTGTTTTTTTCTGACCGAAAAATCTCCCTAGGAGATAAATGCTCATTAATTTGATTTCTGAACTACTTTTTTTTTAATATTTAGAAAAGGAACAACCAAATTTATCAGTGGTAAAAATGTGGTTTAGAAAATCAGTCAAGTTCCGATTTTCGCTGGGGATTTCTCCCGACAGCCTGAAAAGCTTCTCAGCTATTCAGCATAAACTGGCTTCATCTACAGGACACTATCCTGTAAAATTTCAAAAGCCTCACACGATTTATTCAAAGACAGTGTAGCTCGTCTTTTGGCGAACAGTAAACTGCAATTGAACACAATAATATTTGCCGTCTGACGGAAATGGCAACGAAACCTATTTTTTTATGAAGGCCGTCGGCATTTGCCCAGTGTTTCTTGGTTCAAATTTTATGTCGACTGTGCACAATACACAATACAAAAGCTTCATTCGGTTATTCTCTTGTTTCGAAGCAGGCTTTTGTCAAGCATCAACGACGTCACTCAACCGTCATGGAAAGTTTAATAAGATATCCGTTAGCACGGTTTGTCATAAAAAGGGACTATATTGGAGCCATAGTTTTTTTCACAGTAGCTTTAGTTTTCACAAGGCCCGATCTATAATGTTATTCTAAACGTGTAAATTGTAACCCGTCCAACTGTCCTAGACTAACAAGTGTGGCTGTTACGTACTGTACTCACAGTTTGTATTTGTGTGCCCATGAAAACAGCACGAAACTGCAGACTAATGAATGAAGAGGCGCATTGAAAGGCCAATAAACGGACAATCAAACTAAAAACATCCAGTCTTCTTGCCCGCGCGATCAGAGGTTCAGAAGGATTACTGCTTTCCTAACACGAAAGGGTCTACCATAACGGAATTTTCATTAAAATGCATGTTTCCCACCACTAAAGATTCGCAACCGGCAGCCATATGGCATTTTGTTGACTCTATTCATTCAGTAACCGACTCATTGGAACACTTGATTTATAAAAAACTTAATACAGAAGCTGTTCCAGCACGAGTACAGTTAAGCCCTTCTACGGAAATACTCAAAACTTTGGTATGGAATTATTTTACATTAGTCTTGTATTCTTTCATCACGGCAATCCTGAGCTTGATTTAAAACGCACTTTTTGTTTTGAAGATCTCCTCAACTCACGATATCACGACTCATTCATGCGTTTACATAGTGTCAATTCGGCAGCGCCGCTTTTTAAGGTAAGTTATACATGCCTCTGTTGACTGTACTTTAGCTCTGTATAGTAAATTTGATACGTGTTGCACTTCATATTTTCTGCGCTTATTGATAAATTATTTGTGCGGGATTATTGTGACGTTTAACCTACTGTGTATATAAAAAATCGTTCAACTGTGACGCTCTTTGCCTAGCTGCCATGCTACACGAAGGGAGCACGAGGGCTGGTATACTGCCAGGTTGCGCAAGCCTAGACATGGAAAGTAGAAGGGCGGGTTCGAGCCACGGACCTTCCGGTCAGTAAATTCGCACTCTAACCACTTGAGGTATCTGTGTATATGACCACAGTTAACTTGGCTATTAAGATGAGAAAACACTGCAAAGGCTTCACCATCCGACTTGTACATCCAAACCATAGTCCTTATGGAGCACTCACCTTCCACTGTGGTAATAAATATGACACCGAAGGAAATAGAATATTTAAGCCACAAATTTCGGTTTACAACCTTCAGCATACTAAAGATGAAAGTTTCGCGGACGCCTCAATTGTGATAAGCGTTTTTCGGGAACCACGTTTTCATTATATTTCTTATTTTCATGTGTTGCCTCTTTGCTTCACACTGTTTGACAGTAGGTTATTGTCGGGAAAGTCAACAAACCTATCAAAAGTGTCAGATTAGAGATTAGGGGTAGATTACATAGATTAGAGTGAGAGATACCGGATGCATGGAACGGGCTACACTGAACCTATGCAGATCAAGGTCTCTTGACGAAGAAGGTTGATAGACTGAATCACGTGGGTCCACCCTAAACTCCAAATCTTCTCAGTGTCTTTCTTCGCAGGAGACGTTGATTTACCTGGTGGTTTCTTGAACTTTAGGGGACTGAGTGGCATTGGCGGACTATTTATCATAGTTTAGCTTGTGTTCCTTTCTTGCAACTCACCCTGCTAATTTTTTGACGGAATTTGGGATGAAGTTGCTAATTTTACAACACCATCGCTCCTTGTTAGCAAGACTCCCGAACACTGATATTGTGAGTAAGAAAAACGCAAAAGACGCACTACTTCTTACGGAGAGTTTGATGTCCACTAACAAAGTGGATTCAAGTGTTTTGGACATGTATTGTACGGCATGCAGAAACAGCGCGTCATCAAATACACAGCCTCCCGACCTCCCCTGTCTAGGCTTGGGCAACCTGATAGTATCCAACCCTCCTCCGGGTAGCATGGCAGCTATACACCGGGAGTTGTTACAGCAAAGTGATTTTTTTGCCAGTACACAGCTCCAGACTAATTTCAGATTGTTACGAAAGCTGTGAGTGCCACTCCAGTTGGTGCCAAAATTTGTGAGAATTCCGCAATATATTTGAGGGGACCGCCGACGATCACGCGGTGCCTGACTGCATGATGAAATGTTTTGTTTCCCAGAAGGTAGTTTTAAACTTCTGGAATAATTTCTGATCCTCTGTTGGTCCGTATTGAGCAAGAATACCTGGAAACTGGGTCACCTAAGCTTATGCGCCGCACAGAATCCTGGTGATTGTTACTGCAACCTTGACTGGTCGAATGCAAGCAGGCAGATGTCGCCATAAACAAAAATAGACCTATCGCAAAAAACTTCCCCTATTTGCTGATTCCTTGATCTTGTCAAAGTGAAGGGAGATTATTCAAATTTTTGAAGTGTAATTTATTGTTCAAAATAGCGTTAGAATACTTGCTTTCATGGTATCATCTCATTGAGGATAAACTAATGATTGATGGGCTTGTGTTTTTTATTACTGCGAGGTGGAAATCGTTGGCCACTAGGAGACTGTTAAATTATGCACTGGTGAGACTTACTGAGTACTTTTCGGTGAGGAATGATACTTACAGTTCTGAAAGCTTAATCATGTGCCAATTCTTCGCCCATAATGGAACTGCTCGAATTTCCATCATTGCGGTCGGATTTTGTAAGACACCGAGAGAGCAACAAAATTGTTTAGGTGGGCCTAGCAACAATGCTGGTTGTTCTTCTGTTGTTATTTTGAAACCAGATGTCAAATGAAACACAAAGAGACGTTTTGATTGCCCATTGTAACTAAATGACAGATAGTGTAGGTATTCGCCTGAAAAATCAAAGGAAATTTTCTACTGACAACTTTTAACACAGCTTAGCTTGAAAACCGATGAGAGCACTGTCGCTATTCACTGGTATCTCGTGTGCAGAGCATAACCACTGTACAACCTGTGCCTTAAACTGTTTCATCGGTTTCTATTCCAGGCTATTACGATCTTAAACGCTGCCAAAACCAAGTCTTCTAACTTTGTTGCCCGGGATTTGCAGAAGGCCATGGAACTAATCATCAATTCTGACAACTTCATAACCCAGTTTTTCAAACCATCGAGCTCACACAATCGAGATCCACTGACAATCGATTTGATGGAAGGAATGATGGTTGTAAGTTTTTCTGGAAATATTTTCAGTCTTTATCCTGTAAGGTTAAAGGAGTACTTTGTGATAGTAGCTCACTTGGCCTGGTATTTCTCCATAGGCTATGGTGTACAGTTCTTTATAAAAAAGTTGACAATAAACCAGAACAAATGAGCAAAATTAATAAGGAAAATATGCATAGGATGCTCTGGTCGCTGCTCTATGAAACTACCCCGCTTACATTCGGTGGGTCTTCCTCTAGTTTTCTACCTTAAAAATTTGAAGACGCCACGATTATAAAATAAAACCGGTAAAATCCTTTGGTTTAGTGGCAGGCTTGCTGGACCTGCTAACGTTGTTCATAGAGTGGAGAAGATGGTTACGTCAAAATAGACAGCCGTTTCTTGAAAGGAACGAACCATAGTATCAGTCTAGGTTTCGTCACTGGAGCAAGCAGCAGGAACGTTGAGAGAATGGACTTGAAAAAGCTCGTCTGGGACGTGACACGCAACACAGCACCTGCAGAGAGTAGTCTCTAAGACGGTTTTGACAAGTACAAAAGTTTGATTTCAACAATAACGACACTCCACGGCGATGGTTGTCTTGCAACGCGGAGACCATTAGGTCGTGGTACAAAGACTTCATCACAAAGTTATTTGCTACTTAACACAGGTAATTATTCGCACACTACGCCTTATTTTGGGCAGTGCTCTGTTTTTTTTCAAGTTCCACCTACGTGATATGTTGTGGGTAAACTAACATGTGAAAAATACCTCTGATAAATCATGCACCAATAATATTGCTGCAGATTTTCCTGATAGTATCTTTCATAACATGAACAATGATGTATGCATTCCAAATGACGAACACGACTCTCATAGTTAGTAAAAATGCCCGTCAGCCATCCGTATTCACACGAATTCATTTAGATATTGATATCCTTACTATTTGGACAAATGACCCTAACGTGCCTTTTCCTTGGAAGGTCATCACGAACTTGCCGCACCAGACAGCGTGCCATTTTAAACTGGGGAACTTTTATACTACAGCGAGCACAAGCTCAAACGGATCATCATTATGCATTCCATGGTTGCTTAGCCTGTCTCCGCTTTTCATCCTAGACCATAGGATTTAAGATGTGTGAGCTGTTATCCCCACCAATCTTTACATCTGCATTCTCCACTCGTCAGAGCTACCCTACTAGCTAAATCCAGTAGTAAAAACTGCTACTATATCAGCTACCAAAATGTGCCTACAGAATGCCCATCATACACAGACGAATGATAATGCAAGTTGAAACAAGAGTTGGAGTTTCAAGAAGCGCATTCTTCAAGACCCATCGATCCTGCTGAGCCGCAAATCCAATAGGATTTGTTTGCATCTGCCACGATTCTCATAATAAACAGTACACATCTACACACATGTCGCTTTTCGCCATATTGCTGCACATTCAGGATCGATTAAGTCGCGCCTCTTTGAATCACGCAGCAACCTCCGTTGCAGTGGTTGTGTCAAAGCATATTGCAGATTCATTTTACCACGTCTTGAACAACACAGCCTCAAATTTTGTGTAGCGTTCTATTATACGATCATACTAGACCATCAACGAAGATTTTAAGTATGCTATATAACCACATACGACTTCAACACAACATGCGGACTTTTGAATCAGCTCCGTCGAAGGTCATACCTGTGGCTGAAAATCTGGGTGCGTTTTGTATTTCTCTCAAAAGCATCGCCGAAAATTTGTGGGTTTCCCGTAACCGTGGCTTTTTGATTCGTGTTTCATTCATTTTATAAAATAGGCAGTGACTGATCATCATTCCGAAAACTTGTCAGTTGTAATTTGTTGTGATGAAGATCCTAAAAGCATGCCTAACCAGGAGCGGTTGATGGGACATTTCAAAAAATCTATACTTGTTTACGCTGGACATCAGGCTAGAGATGGACGTGTAATAGTCTTCATCTCAGTCAGCCTCTACAGCAGGAGACTGGATGTGTAGTCAGTTTGCCTCAAGTGAACTTCTTGAAAACAGCCCAGTTTGGGAAGGGGGGACTAATGTCTTCGCGGAAGCGGGAGTTGCACACCTATTCGGAACTCACGCATATCTATTTGTGCTGATTTCCATCTGGAAGGAGTTAATTTTCGGAATGGCGTCTCTTGGGTCATTATTGGATACTAACCCCCTATACCATAAACTTAATATTTGCTTCTATGGAAACGATTGATAAACAAGCGGTTGTCTGCAGTGACGTCTCCATACCGCATCTTAGTACTCAGCGCCACCAGTCTTACCGGCAGGATAAAACGGATAAGTCAATAATAACTCGGCTAACTACAAAGTTTAGGAGACGCCACCCGCACACCGATAGCCACAAATTCCAATTCAAGTTCACGTTTAAAGGACTTGATGACTGACTATTGGGCCCTCAGGTCTATCCTACCTCGGCTGGGAAACTACAAAACGTTTGACTCGTCCGCTGTCAAGCCTAAGGTAGCAGCAAACTAACTTCATTCGGAACAATTGTTCAAACCGCTACTCCTTCTATTTTCGCACGCTTGTCTTTTCAGAATACAAACTTGAATAGAACGAACACTCAGCTGCCAAGATCAGCTTCCACTGGGAACTACATTAAATGTAAGTTATTTTTTAAATTCCAGGAATCTTATGTATAGTATGTAGTTCTGCTTTTGTCCGACACTGGAACAAATACAACACAGAATTACTAGGCAGTGTGATTTCTGACAAACTGGTTTATCAGCTATGCAGGCAAAGAGTGCATTACACCATCTGTTAAGTTTATTTTAAAGTGAGTTAACATCTCTCATTATTACCATGTATTATTGTTGTTCACAAACAAAAAAATTCAAGTGAAAGATCTGGAACGATGTACCGGAGGGCGTGAGATAAAAACGAAACTTTTTACTCAAAGACATGTCATCAATAGCTTTCTCTCAGCTGGTATCCAATTAATTCAACAACTTTTAGTGCGGAGGAATGTGACTACCAAAACTAAAATGCCAAGCCCATCCGAAATCATGTTTACAGCTGCTGAGCTTCTCCGAATAGCTTTTAGGTCAGGCTTCATAAAACACGTCAAAGTGGGCTCTGTCAGCTACTCGTAGACGACGTATCTTAGACGGCAAACGTTTTCATAGTTCCCTTACAATCCCATTACGACGAACGTATCCAGCAACGTCCGCGATGCATAGAGACTGCAGAAAGCAACAAACTTTCTGTTTGGTCGCAGTTTCCACCACATAATAGCTTCTGATCACTATGGCCGCGCCAGGCTTTTCTTTCTGGCGTTCTAAGTGCGGCTGTACCGGAGCTGAGTACTGCGCATAGACACCTAAAGAAAACAACGTTCTGGAAGCACATTGATTGGGAAAAACGAAACGACTAACCCTGAAACCAGCGATCACCATTTCCTCCTCGATGTTCACGTACGGCCACTGAACCCGAATCGTGAGGCTGGGATCTCAGACTACCCTGCAAAATACAGGATTAGCAACCACGTTGCACAGTACCCGCTGCTGCGTAGACAGAAGCTGGTCCGTATGCGATGGAATGGTTGAACTAAGATTTTGGATACTGAGATCCCATTTCGTTTATAGGTGTGGACACAGCTGACTGTGGTGGCCGTCTGTAGATATAGTAGGCTACGGATGCACTGCCTAACTCTAACATTCAAACGTTTATGGGTGTTACAATGAGCTTAATCTATATAAGGCAAATTTCATCCTCAGTATTAGCCAGTTCTTTCTGGTCTTCATTTGGTTTCATCCTCAATATTAGCCAGTTCTTTCTGGTCTTCATTTGCTGATGCCACTTCAGGTGGCTCATCTCATCTAGTAGTTTCTGCAGCTGTTGTTGGCGGTTGCAGCCTCCTTTCCCGCTGAACGTAAAAGGGAGGTCAGACTATGTCACAGTGTACTTCGGACCAAGATAATGATGAGTGATTCGGTAAAACATAGTGGTTTGACTAAGGTAGCCATCACTCTATGTTTTCTGTCCCAAAAAATGATCACTGCATTCGTCTTTCGGGTGGTGATCGCCGTTTTAGTTCTCTCTAGGTTTACCACAGTATATCCAAGCTTTCTTTAAAGATATGCTATCTTACTGCGCACACTAACAAGTTTTTACCAAGGGAAAAGCCGTCGACTAAAGTATCGTGGAATTGGTAGCTTTGCTGTTGTACCGAAAATTTGAGAACCTCATCCATCGACGTGATGAGGAATAGGGGGAGAGTTAATTTCCCCGTCTCACTCCTCTGTGGCAGTGAACCTCCGAAATAAAATAAACGCGCCTTCTTTTATGAACCAACCACATCACGCATACAGATGACAAGCACTTACCTCCATTTCGTTTGAATTTAGTTTAACTAAGCTGACGTCCGCATACAGCGACCCGTTCATCTGAACTTGATTTGTGTCATCATCATCCTGATATTGATCTTCATGAATTTCTGCTGTCGCCTGAGAATCTCCTAAAAAGATATTGCTCTTGGTTAGTCCGCGGTTATAGGTGAGGTGACACGTCAATCGTATCCATTGTCTGGTGGTACAGTTGGTGGAAGTATCATCAGAAATCCATGCTTCGGTTTCTGATAACCGGCAAAATGCGCTGTTTAAAAGTGATGTGAGGGCATAAAAAATATTCTCCCACGCACAACTTAAGAGATGCATTCTCCGACTTACTGATCTCTGTTGGAGACAATGCATTTTTGAGAATTTTTGCGATGATAAACTGTATATTGATTTTGATGATAGTGTTCCTGGAGATAATGGCATGGTATGATGTAATACACATGCGTATGAGCAAAGACACAGCTGACTGTGGTGGCCGTCTGTAGATATAGTAGGCTACGGATGCACTGCCTAACTCTAACATTCAAACGTTTATGGGTGTTACAATGAGCTTAATCTATATAAGGCAAATTTCATCCTCAGTATTAGCCAGTTCTTTCTGGTCTTCATTTGCTGATGCCACTTCAGGTGGCTCATCTCATCTAGTAGTTTCTGCAGCTGTTGTTGGCGGTTGCAGCCTCCTTTCCCGCTGAACGTAAAAGGGAGGTCAGACTATGTCACAGTGTACTTCGGACCAAGATAATGATGAGTGATTCGGTAAAACATAGTGGTTTGACTAAGGTAGCCATCACTCTATGTTTTCTGTCCCAAAAAATGATCACTGCATTCGTCTTTCGGGTGGTGATCGCCGTTTTAGTTCTCTCTAGGTTTACCACAGTATATCCAAGCTTTCTTTAAAGATATGCTATCTTACTGCGCACACTAACAAGTTTTTACCAAGGGAAAAGCCGTCGACTAAAGTATCGTGGAATTGGTAGCTTTGTTGTTGTACCGAAAATTTGAGAACCTCATCCATCGACGTGATGAGGAATAGGGGGAGAGTTAATTTCCCCGTCTCACTCCTCTGTGGCAGTGAACCTCCGAAATAAAATAAACGTGCCTTCTTTTACGAACCAACTACATCACGCATACAGAAGACAATCACTTACCTCCATTTCGTTTGAATTTAGTTTAACTAAGCTGACGTCCGCATACAGCGACCCGTTCATCTGAACTTGATTTGTGTCATCATCATCCTGATATTGATCTTCATGAATTTCTGCTGTCGCCTGAGAATCTCCTAAAAAGATATTGCTCTTGGTTAGTCCGCGGTTATAGGTGAGGTGACACGTTCTACCGACACGTCAACCGTATCCATTGTTTGATGGTACAGTTGGTGGAAGTATCATCAGAAATCCATGCTTCGGTTTCTGATAACCGGCAAAATGCGCTGTTTAAAAGTAATGTGAAGGCATAAAAAATATTCTCCCACGCACAACTTAAGAGATGCATTCTCCGACTTACTGATCTCTGTTGGAGACAATGCATTTTTGAGAATTTTTGCGATGATAAACTGTATATTGATTTTGATGATAGTGTTCCTGGAGATAATGGCATGGTATGATGTAATACACATGCGTATGAGCAAATGCCTCATACATGTAGCCGGGACTCATCTGTATTTGTATTAAACAACTGCTGATGCATCAGTAATGACTTCTATCTCTAGATGTGGTTTGCACTAGAGAATTTTATTCCGTTGAGACAACAGTCGCCTAACTGTTGAGCTGCTTTGATGTGGAAAAGCTTGCTAATCGAGTAACGACAATGAAATGAAACAAAGAATGCAAACGTGGTACTCGTCCAACACCTGTACCGCACTTCAGATCAAAGCATCCAACTTAATGGATAATTGTGATGAACTTTTATCGTAAATTTAGAATACACTGTATATGTGAATGTACTTCTGTTCCCAGCAATAAAACTTACGTTCCCATTATCAACGAGAGCGTTTATTCAGAGATTGAAATCCTTCCGTAAGCACATGTATGTAGCTAACGATTCTTGGAGGTTCCTTTAAATAATTAAATTGACCTGATCTACAACTGGCTTTGAATGAGATTTCGGAGCAGACACAATCAGAGAGAGACATGTAGGAGATGGCACGTATTAATTATTTAAAACGGGCCTCGTCACTTTGCCAAGAGGCAGAAATTTGTCAAGAATGTGCACTTATTGCTGCCAGTATATATTTACATCAACTACTAGTAAAGTGCGTTGCAATAGCTATAAGCTTAGTCGGCCATACTTGGTTGGCGTTATGTTTTTTCTGAAGTCATCAACATTAGCAACATGAGTGTTGCAGCATCATCGACAGCACGACATCAGTGTTCAANTAGCATGAAGTGAAGATGAAGAATTTATTCGTGGACACTCGCGATTTGCTACTGAACAGTTTGACCTTCATTCTCATCAGATAACTTAGTTCCTTAAAAGTACAACGTTCCTCAATCCGTCTTAGGAAAAAGGACCTTTGTTCCTATGGCCCTGCAAATTAACCCACTGATTTGATGTGCTAAATTTAACTCCACTCCCGCAAAAAAGGACGAAAAATTGACGCCAATCTCAGCCCTACTAGTCACAGTGGGAGTCGTAGCACTAGACTTCCGTTTGACAATGGCGAGATGGGGTACTGAAACGTTACGTTCAGCTCCTCTGGCTACCACTGATACGCCTAGCCAGTGTTGTGCAATAGACTTTTTCCACCAAGCGCACTCCATTACAGACTGGTTTTTTGGCTTCACTCCTACATCAGAGATTGTGATCAGCGGTGGTTAATTAAATAGATCTCGTCAAACCGAGAACAATTTTAGTTAGTCAACCTGACAACCCTGTTGTACGGTAATTTATTCTCAACCTTTCAGTTCGTCAGACGGTCATGTCCTGATAAGTAAGATATATCGCTGTTCAACGAAAGTAGAATGCAGATTGCTCAGGTCACTCGAAAACTGTCGACCTTGACGTTGACAAACAGATGTAAGGTTCCAAATGGTTTACGCTTGGAAAGGCTACGGCTACGCCGCACTACGAACCGATATCCAATGCTCCAGCGTACCCAGGTTGGAATTGTGATATAATAATGAAACTTGGCAACAGACGATAAAGATGAGCGGGGGAGTTTTGAAGAACAACGGACCTACGTAAAATGCCACTCGCAATTTCGCTGAGAACCCTTCGGGGACTGTATTTTCCTGATAAACCCCAAGAGGTTCAAAACCGGTCGAGAGAGGTCCCCTTTCTGGAGGAACCTTTTCCGCCAGACCACGCGTGTGGTACGCGTTGAGGATCAACATATTTCTCGATGAAATAATGTGTCGTAAGAGGGAGTTTATGTGTTCAAACACTTTGAAGCAGGTTAATGTTTGTTGTGGAGCCGACTCTTAGCTTGCACTAAAGCAGGGACGAAAGAGAAGCCCCTAAATCTGATCGAGCCCGTGAGCAACTCACTTATCTGACTGTTATCAAGTGTGCTGCAGTGTGTCGTAGATCAAGAATAACAAAACCCACAAAACCATCCTCCAGTAAGGCAGTTGGTGAAAGAGCTACTGTTTAGAAATCATGCCTTTTGTGACTGATTATGCACTCTCGGCATCCGCATGCCATGTGAATCCTAACAACTCGGGGTTTTTTAAGTATCGCAACAATATCGAATCAAAACTGCCAGATCATCCTTTTATGGCATTGGTTACCAACTCACTTCTGAGTAGTCACGGTCTTAGTAATGAAGTAATCCCGACCTCCTCGTGCATGCATGCTCGATGACTGAATGTCAGAAGCCACGTTTAAATGGGCTAACCCCCAATCGTAAACTGATGGGTGGGATTATCACTTCGTGCTTTATCCAGAGTNGCAGCATCATCGACAGCACGACATTAGTGTTCAACACCAATGCTTCAACGCCTTATTTTAAAGAAAAGAGTAAAGGTGGACTTAGTGCTAGCTTACCACAATCATTTCGAGGTGCATTTACCTCCAGACACTTACCCAGGCGATCTAGATAGAAACTGACAACAAGAACGCCACTCACATTGGTTGCCAGCCATATCTTGCAAAGTAGCCAACCAGGCACAGTGAGGAACACGCGGTCCCCATCCTGGAAGGCGAGTAGCGCCGACAGCACCCAAGCGTTTCGTGATCTCCTTCACAATACTCTGCCAAGTCAAGGGTTGGCCAACTCTCTATTTACACTACTCTGAGTTGGGCATGGAAAACAGCACTCTCTTCGGCGAACCATGGTCCGACATACGCAACACATGTCCCAAGCAACGCAGCTTCTCGTGCTGGACACATTCTTTAATGGAAGTGCCCGTTGCACAACCAAAAGCGCGCTTTCTAACTGCCACGTTACGGGTTCACCGACACCAACCCACACGAGCTATGGTTCTGAGACAACGATTGTCGAACACCTGAAGACGTGTTGGCATGGATGCTGCATTATCGCGCCACTAAAAGGTTCATCTGATTATGTTAGAAGCATTAGAATGAAAAGAGGAGAAAAGAGTTGTTAAATGAGGTGACCTCGTGCTGGCCTATCCCGAATACTTTTGTGCGCTTACCCCTTCAAGCGCTGAATCCGACTGTCTGGAAAGAAACTTTTAGCATGAAGTGAAGATGAAGAATTTATTCGTGGACACTCGCGATTTGCTACTGAACAGTTTGACATTCAGCCTCATCAGATAACTTAGTTCCTTAAAAGTACAACGTTCCTCAATCCGTCTTAGGAAAAAGGACCTTTGTTCCTATGGCCCTGCAAATTAACCCACTGATTTGATGTGCTAAATTTAACTCCACTCCCGCAAAAAAGGACGAAAAATTGACGCCAATCTCAGCCCTACTAGTCACAGTGGGAGTCGTAGCACTAGACTTCCGTTTGACAATGGCGAGATGGGGTACTGAAACGTTACGTTCAGCTCCTCTGGCTACCACTGATACGCCCAGCCAACGTTGTGCAATAGACTTTTTCCACCAAGCGCACTCCATTACAGACTGGTTTTTTGGCTTCACTCCTACATCAGAGATTGTGATCAGCGGTGGTTAATTAAATAGATCTCGTCAAACCGAGAACAATTTTAGTTAGTCAACCTGACAACCCTGTTGTACGGTAATTTATTCTCAACCTTTCAGTTCGTCAGACGGTCATGTCCTGATAAGTAAGATATATCGCTGTTCAACGAAAGTAGAATGCAGATTGCTCAGGTCACTCGAAAACTGTCGACCTTGACGTTGACAAACAGATGTAAGGTTCCAAATGGTTTACGCTTGGAAAGGCTACGGCTACGCCGCACTACGAACCGATATCCAATGCTCCAGCGTACCCAGGTTGGAATTGTGATATAATAATAAAACTTGGCAACAGACGATAAAGATGAGCGGGGGAGTTTTGAAGAACAACGGACCTACGTAAAATGCCACTCGCAATTTCGCTGAGAACCCTTCGGGGACTGTATTTTCCTGATAAACCCCAAGAGGTTCAAAACCGGTCGAGAGGGGTCCCCTTTCTGGGGAAACCTTTTCCGCCAGACCACGCATGTGGTACGCATTGAGGATCAACATATTCCTCGATGAAATAATGTGTCGTAAGAGGGAGTTTATGTGTTCAAACACCTTGAAGTAGGTTAATGCTTGTTGTGGAGCCGACTCTTAGCTTGCACTAAAGCAGGGACGAAAGAGAAGCCCCTAAACCTGATTGAGCCCGTGAGCACTCACTTATCTGACTGTTATCAAGTGTGCTGCAGTGTGTCGTAGATCAAGAATAACAAAACCCACAAAACCATCCTCCAGTAAGGCAGCTGGTGAAAGAGCTACTGTTTAGAAATCATGCCTTTTGTGACTGATTATGCACTCTCGGCATCCGCATGCCATGTGAATCCTAACAACTCGGGGTTTTTTAAGTATCGCAACAATATCGAATCAAAACTGCCAGATCATCCTTTTATGGCATTGGTTACCAACTCACTTCTGAGTAGTCACGGTCTTAGTAATGAAGTAATCCCGACCTCCTCGTGCATGCATGCTCGATGACTGAATGTCAGAAGCCACGTTTAAATGGGCTAACCCCCAATCGTAAACTGATGGGTGGGATTATCACTTCGTGCTTTATCCAGAGTGAAGTTCCTGTAAGCTTCAAACAGTACAGTTACAATATGGTATGCAGTGCCATTGAAAGATTTATTAGAAATAAAATATTTCTGCATTTCTGGTATGTCTCTTGAATTGGTGTACGTTGACTTGACATACTGTGAAAAAATGTTCGAAACAAATACCTGATCGAAACACTGATCGCGGTTCGTAAGCAGCAGTTATTTGGAATATAAACCTAATCTACGAGGCAATCCCACTGAATCAATACATGCAACCAAACTCCTCTTTTTGCCAAGGGCAAAGTTATCCAAATCCCCTAATGAGAAAGCTATCTTAAAGGGAAAAGCTATTCGATATTGAGCCATTGTAAACTGTCGCGTCTAATATCTACATGTGTCTACGTTTGTGACTTAATTGGTCGGCTATGTTTGTCTTCTTTGATAGGTGTCCAAGAGATTCTTGGTCGACACCCAGAATTCATGACAACCAATGAGATCGATGCTTGTCTGGAAGGTGACGATAGATGGGACTTTGATATTCTTGTCCTGGAAAGGGTTACCAATAAAAGGTAAGGAAACTGCTTTTATTGCTGTGTCCATATCGCAACTGGTTATTATCATCACAACGAGACATCTAAAAACATACTCTAGTTTACACTGAACTACGATTATCTTTTCATGCCACTAGTTACCTGTCTCTATAGGCCGTCAGTTTTCTTGATATTAAAATGCAAAACGTAAAAAAACACTTGCCTGTTTATTGTATCCTGGTTCTTTATCATTATTATCGAAGTGCTTTCCCACATGGTGCTAGATCGCACACATGACTATGCACTTTAGATAGGTTGTCAAACCAACTTCACTGGGTTTCAGGAATTCGATCGACGAGATGGCTATGATCTGAATGATCCGCACTACTAACTCTTTGTTTCATCGATTGATTGTAGACGACTACTTCGTCAAATAATATCAACAGAAATATTAATAGTAGCAGTGCTAGCAAAAAAGATCAAAACATTGCTATCCAATCCCCAAGCAATCAATAATCAATCGTTTGAAATGTCGTACAGAGATACAGTTGTGCCTCACTATAAACTTATGGATGAAAGGGTTGGGGAACAATACTGAGCATTAGAACAAACGACTCGAGTTGTAAGTTGGGCGTTGACAATACATAGATTATAGGAAAGTTCTGTAATAATGAGGTATGAAAAGAGGCCATTTTTCAGTGAATTCAGCAGCTCGAATAATTACCCTCGCTGAGAACAACGACCAGTCCAAGACTAGTAGTTTAATTCAAGAGTTATAAATACAGGGGATCAAAACAAATAGTTGGTCACCTTAGCGGATTTGGCATTTTTTTCCTTTGAATATAGTTTACATGTTTTGAATCATATCATTATTTCCTGTTTGAGATTTGAATGAGCACATTAAATTTCGTTCGTTTGTTTCATCATAAACAAACATTTGCTGGGCACAATTCACCTCCCATTTCTTACTTTAGGCCGCTCACGCACCTAGCAATGAAAATATTCAGTCGCTTCAAGGTGTGTGAATTGTTGCGAGTTCCTGAAGGGATCATGATCTCTTGGCTAAATATGATTCAAGACAATTACCATCAGCAAAATCCCTACCACAATGCAACCCACGCTGCTGACGTCCTTCAGTCTACAGCCTATTTTCTGCGTGTAGACTTATTGTCTGTGAGTTTCCATTTCTGATCCGATCAATTGGTCATTTTTTCTTGGTTCTTCTGGACGCATTTCTTTACCTATTTCGTCCAAGCGTCTATTATTAAACAGTACGTCAGTGCACCTACAAGATTGCGCATACAGAAGTCACTGTGAGAATTTTGTTTTTATTCTATCAAGCTGATCGCTCCAGTCGATAACACCGGCGTTTGATGTCACGTGGGGTAAAAAAAATGGATATCAATATGTTGCACCGGTCACGAGTGGCGATAAATCGCAGGATCTCCTAACATTCCGGTTATCGAGTAGAAGTAGATAATACAGACATGCATCATCGTCATGTTGCAAATTCGTTAGCAGTACCAATAGGAGAATGAGAAAACCGTTCGAAATTCACTTTGTTGGGGTAGCAATGTATCGAAATTTCGATAGCTCGGGTGCGTTTGTTGGCTGTTGATCCAATTGATGTACACTGCCCAAGTGCGCACTAGTGTTGGTGACGAGACTTTTGTAAGTTGATTATCAAGCTGGAGCAGCAGCCACCGACTTTTGTAAGTTGATTATCAAGCTGGAGCGAAGTGACCAGCAGCCACCTGATCAACAATCCAAACACAGCTAAACCAGGCTCGGTGTCACTTATGGAAACTGACCATTTACCAAAGAGAACAAATATAAGAACGCGGTAATAATTCGGATAATAGTATAATATTTTACTAATCTCATCGAAGTAGTAATGTGTTTTCTATATAGGGTTCCGCACAAGATCTGCCTACATCACCGTCATTTCCATTGTCTACATAGTCTCTGATGTTCAACTTTTATCTGGGATTATACGATCGATTTGTAGTCAAAACAAAGCCGGTCTTACTCGGTTTACGTTCAAGAACTTTAGCCAAGTACACTCATTTTCATGCCAATTTGGTTTTGATGGGACACTCACCTGGAGCTCAGCTACCTCTCGTTTATGATATTCAAATCAACTAACTGGGCTGCAACATGCCACTCTTCATTGTTCAATTGGTAAGATACTCAGGATATTGCTATACATTTTGTAGACGTAATATATCACGAATAAGGCTGCTGAAAACTCCTCATTAACTTTAATAATGCGTTTTCTTAATCGAAAAATTTTGGCGCACTAGAATACTACTACAACGGGAGTTTGTTTGCAACTATTTATGACAGTCTGCACGCAGGCCATGCATACGGAATCATACATTTACCGATAAGCATTCTTGAAACTCATGGAATATGTTTTACTTTATGAAGCAAGACTTCTGCGCTATACTTAACGAGCTTTTATTGGCCTGGATAACCAAGTCTTACTCTGCGTTTCAACTCGAGTTTCACAGCTCACAATTAATCAGTCAGTTTATCATCAATAAACCATGTACCACAGGCATAATAATTTTAGCTGCTGCAGTTTCGATCACCACCAGTCAAACCCTAGAGGTGAAGACGTGTTCATTGAGCTCGAGAACTGGGTAGCTACGCAGTGAAAGCGATAGATTTGATGCATGGGTGCCATCGACTGAGCCACTGAGCCACTTCCGCTAGTGTCATTAACCTGGAGACGGCAATTGTCGGCCTGACTAGGTTTCATACTTCGTTTCCAGGTCATACACTGTCGGTTACTTTCACTCAACACAGGGCTTGGCAAAAATGTTTCCAGGTCATACACTGTCGGTTACTTTAACTCAACACAGAGCTCTGTGAGGCAGACGGTCTTGTGACACTTAGAGTGCATTTCCTAACTAGCGCAGCTCTTGAAGCTTGAGTAACTCACATCCCACGGAAGACTTCCTTCTTCCTAGAACCATCTGGCATACCCTAGCATTATGAATCCACTATTCCCAACGGACCCACCCAATGCTTCGGAGACACAGCTCACACTCCCGATACACTGTGTGATTTCCCTGTTCTTCCGATTACGTATCACAGGGACTTAGCGCGTGGTGTTTACTACTAAGAGATACGAAATTTACAGAATAGAGACGAAACTTGGTTACACGACTTCATTGCATTGAAGGCAATAGGTTGGATACACGAGCGCCATTGAGGGTGCGACTGGGCCATGTCTGACATCGGCGCCCGGGTGAATCGCATTAGGACTACTAAATATTCCGTTGCCATGGGACTTCCAAATGAACTAATTTAAGGTATAATTATTAGTTAAATTATTTATGTTACTAAAAATAGCTGTCGCAACATTGCGCTTAGTATGTCACCACACATTGCATTCAGCTCAATAAGAACAAAGGCTTTTGCTAATGGGTTTCCGTACCCTGGGGTGCCACTTTTAAAAACTCTAATTGGGTACCGGCACACAAATGGAATTCCTCTTTTGTTACGGTTATAAAATTTCTTTTGGACGAAATAGTACTCCTTCTAGTTACTGTTGATTTTTTGTGCGTAATCCTCGTTAGGAGCTCACTTCTTCTAACCTTATTATTTAGTCCTATATGGCGCAGTACGAAAGTCTATTTATGGCCCAATTGTACTTGCTCTATATTTACAACCTTTTGGACTCGAGTTAGAATCCTAGCACAAAAACTGTTGTGGTAAACTTACCTCACGGAAATACAAATGAATGGCAGTTGTTATTTTCCACAGGCTTGGTAGTTTATTCACGAATATTGTGTCACACGCCTCCCATTCACATACGAAATGGTATAGCAGACCGATCGATCAACCAAACGTCGTAATCCACAAATGATTAAATCACCTCGCGGTATCGAAAACATTTGATTGATCTATTTTATTTTGATCGCGATAACGCGACTGTGACCTAGTTTGACAACATCTCCAACCAGGCTGGCTTTTTGTACATCCCGATTCTCTGTCTCAGACTAATATTAGCAGCTGGAGCAGTGTGCCATCTCTTCGAACAACGGATTTTGTGTGTGAATGACACCGTCGTACTCTAGCTGAACTGTCCTCAGGGAGGCATACAGTATTACTTGGCTGATATCTAAATAGCTATTGACCGAAGAAGCTAAATAGTGTTTTTTGGATCTGTCCCATAATTAAACAAATTTCGAGACATAACTTTGTTTGCCTTCTGATCTTCGTTCATAAGGAAATTCTAGGTGTCGAGTACCTATTCGAAAGGATGGAATTTCGTTGCCCCACTGTGCTTTGGTGTTGTCTCGATAAAATGATACAGAATTCTCACTGTTGGGTAGTGAACAAATCAAACTACTTAACGCCCTATTTGTTTAAGTTTGTCCTGATAGTTTTTGATCTCATTAAACGGCTGGGTTTTGTGTTAGCGAACGCTTATCAAATTATGCCGTTCGTGCCTAAGAGGCTGCAGAACTCTCACCAGGCTGTTTGGAAAAGTACAGGTTCATTTGGACCACAGATTCAAATGTTTCTGTCACAGCGGTTTCTGAAAGCAACGACAATTAAGTCAACCCTGTTTTCTTGTTACAACTCGGATTTTTCGGACAATAATTATCGAATCCGTAAAATTTACTCTTTATCATTTGAATGTATCCTGCTGGCGCCGAAAAGCGACCCAAGCCCCCGCCAGGATCTTCGTAGCTAAGTTGTTCGGGTCTGTTGTTATGTGGTAGCTCGTATGATGGTGGTATTGTTTCTATTGAATAATTTACTACTGTTATGGGCAATAATGCTCGCTGTGCTCTGTGGGCTTGTTTGCTGCATGACGCTCATAACGACTTACCAAAGTGCAAAGCTACTGGGATCCATAAGAGCTAAGTCATTGGCACTAGTTAGCAGTCCGAACAAGTAGAGGATGCACTGATCAGGCCTCTATATTGTCTATGCATGCCAAGCGTGCGGCTGACCAAAACTGAATCACCGGGTCATCAAATAGGACTAATTCGGCTGAAGTGTTTCTAATCCGTGCCCAGCATTTTGAACCATGGTCTACCAAGACAGGTGTGGACGTTTATCCCAAACCTATGCTAGCGAAAGTTTGAAGATTCAAGTAAATGATACTGTCGCATGAAGTAAGGATTGCTGCACTCAGCCTTGGTGCTGTGGGACCCTCACGCCTTCCTGGATGGGATCCTCGTGTTTTTTCTTCGCAGACGCGTACAGAAGATGGCACTCACCTGCTTCCAGTAGCATCTATGATGCACTTTTCCTGCCGAGCTCTTCACATGAAGCCTGTTTGTTGTTGTATGCTGGGCTCGCATTGGAGGTCAGTTCATTGGCAGCAATGACATCCTACACAGTTATGACACTTTGGTTTGTTCATTTCCTCACCCGTTCAAGGTGTAGGCACTTGTATCTTGACCACCTTTTCTAAAGAGAAGTGTTTTTTTTTACCACAATACCTACAACCTTCCCCAAACTCTCAAATCTTTAGCATGGCACATTAGCTCGTGATAACATGGAAGTGAGGCACCAATGCTCTATCGTTGTAGACGTCGATGGCGAATATCAGTCTATTTCTGGTAGCCAATTATGATATGACAACATTAGCGTGTAAGCGGCTGACTAGTTCGCCTAGCATGACCATTAGGAGGATAACGGCTTTGTGGGGAAATAATTTCCAGCCCCTCACTAGAACATGATGTCTAGTTAAACTAAAATATGGGACGCACTACTCATAAGGTTGCTGACAGCCCACGATCCGTTTCGCCCTTCTTTGAGATCATCAAGTTGGCGACTCCCCGAGTTTCCTTCAATCCTATGTTCTAATTGAAAACAAAGTGCAGGAAATTAGCGAAATGAACTCAGTTGCGAAAGACTCACCTGGAACTCAGCAGAATCTCTCGTTTTTTGATGTTTCCAGCACATTTAGGTGCTTGAAAACATCAAAACGAGGGAGTCAGCTGGGTTTCAGGTGAGTCTCTCGTAAAAACCGAATTTGTTTGCAAGTGAGTGTATTTTGCTAATATACGGAGACCTACGGAGCAACAAATGTTTGAGTAAGAATGTGGAAAATGTTTGTTGACAACACTTTTTCAGGGACCAGCATCCGCGCTGTGCTTTGTCGCTTCAGTGATGTGAGGTCTCATGTTGAAAATTTAGTAAACAATATCCTTTTGAAGCAGTTTTTTTCTGCCGAAAGCGCCTTGGTCTGTTTCCAATATCATATAGCTGGTTCTGTAATGAAAACGCGCTAGTTTTTAGTTTGTCGTACATTAGCTAAACTTCTCATCCATCCTCCTCATTATCTGCGAAAAATGTTCCATACCACAGTCGGTATTTGATGAGATGGAAGAAGTCGGGTCGCTACTGGCTGCAGTTGTGCATGACCTGGATCACCCAGGAAGAACCAATCCGTTCCTTGTAAACAGCAATAACCCACTGGCTATCCTGTACAATGACATGTGAGTTACTATTACACCTTTTCAGCCAATCCATTTGAATCTGTCTGAGTATCATATCTGCCATTCAGATACTTACTAAAAAGTGTGAATGCCCTAAGCAAAACGCTCAACCTTAACGAAGCATCCCGACAATTACCCTTTCTTGGTTTTTTCATAGGGCGAGAACATCACTACCAATCCCATGCTCAATTGAATTTATCCCAAGTATTCGGGAAGAACCATAGAGGCGTTCCGTTAATACTGGAAATTCTCGGCTGTACTGAGGGTGACTATAACCCGTGACCTTTCGTTCGGTAGATGAACCCCCCCCCATCGCGTAAATTATCAACTCTCATTTCACACTATACTAATAAGGGACGAAACAGTGACATCCTTCACTCGCTCAGTTCATCCCGCCTGATCCGTTTTTGACTGGCTCTTTGGATACAGAGGTGGTCCTCATGCACATTTAACTTATAACAGGGAGTGATGCAAAGCAGAAGATTCACTTGAGATCTGTCCTGCAGGTATAGCCTACCTATCCTGGAAAGTCAGCCAGTATAGTTTCAATCCGATGATAAGTTGTTCAAATCCGTTAAAGACGCGTGAAGTGCACTTAACGCTAAAAAGGTGATGGAGTTGCTGGGCTTTCAAGCATGGGATGGGTACCTGTACAATGGAGTCTTGAGTGAAAATTCAAGAGTATGGACGTATATCTGTTTATTTCTTCGAAACCGCACCCAAAATTAAAATCTTACATGCCAAGATTTTAAACAATACGTTCGCGTTTTTGCGTCTCGTTGGGGAACATGAAGCATTTGTATTATGGTGAATCTGATAAATTTGGATATTTCCGATCTGAGTGTAGGTAAACGTCATCGCCTCTTGACGCAATACACAATCTAAGTTGATGCTAACTTCCTTTCCAAGTTCGTTTTTTCCTATATTTGCGTACAATTTGTTGTTCAAGTGGAACATAGGTGTGTTGGATACTCCGGAGACTACGCCTACTTGAACCGCCCCAAGAATACTGGCTATGAGCTATTGAGGAATTGTCAGCAATCGTACAGCTTGTTTTGTTTCCGGTCGTCGTCCCTTGTCGTGCACAGCATCCAGCAATAGCGACCGTATTTTGGTGCTGTTATGGAGAACTATATTATCAATAAATATTCAGTCATCGTGGATGTATGAAACAAACACCAGCGTCCACGATAACTCATCTGGCAAGGCAATGGTCCGGTTAGGGCGAATTCACGGGTTTGAGTCCTGTCCGTGGCGTCTGTCATTTGCTGACGGATATGCGTAGCTGTCAAAGGATTCCCTATCTCTTCATCTCATCTGCCTTAATTAACGCTCTTCAATTCAAGTTATGATTGGTGTGTCCCGAGAGCTCAATAGCTTTTTGTTAGAATTGTCCAAATGGGTGACTTTGGTATGACCGTTTATCTATGTTATTTTAAAAGTATTTTCAGGCTTGATCAGATAAGGTTACCAATGAAGGGATGATTTGGTGCAAACAGCTGACTTATGGTGAGGCTCCACACTCCCAGACGAATCACGCGCTCAGTGGAATTAGTAAACCATATATCATTCCTGCCAGTCACCATCAACATCTGACACCGTACTTGTGTAAGAATGCGACAAATTAGCGATTAGTATGGTGCTCCAAACCACACGACTAGTTGTATCGATACAGAAAAGTTTAAATTTTTGAAAAAAGATTTTCGTCCTTGTGCTAAAAAACGGAATACGTAACCGTAAAAACTAATCCTGACATTTGTACCTTCTCGAGTGTGCACTGAGGCGTGGCGTTGCTCGTAAACTTCAAAGTGTTCGTAAACAAAGCCAGCTGTCTGCATGAAGAGCATGGTCTGTTTCAGTCCAGTCAAGCATGACAGCGGCGTAGGGATTTTGGAAACCCAGAGATTCTCGATGATCTCGTCTGCTGTTCCCGTCAGGCTGAAGAAGAGACACGCATGACGATTCCTGCACCCGCAGACATGGCGGTACAGAGTTGTCTCATTCATAGAGGTATTTGTAGCTGATGGTGCTGAGATGAAAGCGATATTCGCGGTGGTGATGAACATTCAAGATAAGCCCGTTTGATTTGAGACTAGGCGACCAGCTGCAGAGAGTGATTCCGAATTTGTAGCGTGGTTATGATGGTGCGAGTTTGTTCAATACACCTTTCGATGAAGTCCAGGCAGTGACCGGATGCATGTACTGGGAATTGTTACGAAATGCCGATTTACTTGCATGGTGGATAACACAGGTAAAGCGTTTTCATAGACAAATTCTTTGAATGGAACTTCCCAAAAGGAAGATTAGAAATTCTGGAGAATATGCTGTGAATTGTTACGAAATGCCGATTTACTTGCATGGTGGATAACACAGGTAAAGCGTTTTCATAGACAAATTCTTTGAATGGAACTTCCCAAAAGGAAGGAAGGAATTCGGGAGGAATATGCTGTGAACGCCACTAACAGTCTGACCTGAAACGTTAAGCAGCAAACGTTTCATGCAGAGATGTTGAATTTGAAGGCACACTACTACCTATCAACCGCAGCAATTTAAGCCAGATAGTCCGAGATGTTGGCGTGCCTTCTGCACTGGTTCTCAGGTCACGTATATGTAGGTTCGAACCTGATAATAGACGTGGCCTGTTTATGTCTGAACAGTTGGGCATACACCACTGCGTTTTGAGTCCGACGCGAGCACGACTTTTCGCGCTAAGCACAAAGTTAAGCTCATCGAGTAGGTATTCCTCTACCACAATTGTTGGACCTTCTTTGGTAGTAAAATGTATATGTATTGATCAGCAGCAGTTAGCTCCTTGCTGGACTAAAATTCAGCCCCCTGCATTGTTTCCTTCATTATATTTGAGGCAGATTACTTTCAGTATCGGATCAGGAAAATTTCAGAAGTTAAAACCAGACGTGTTGAGATAGCATGGAAGTATCACCTCATTGACTTTGGAAGAAAATCTGACTAGTTACTTAAATCTGTGATTTTGTGCCAACTTGGTACTGAAGTACCAAATTTATGGAAAGGTTATCAGTAAATTGTTTTTTGCTATTAGCTTCCTAAACGGGCGTCTAAGAGTTTTACGAAGGTTTGAAACAATGTTAGTGTCTATTCCAGTTGAATGATCCCATCACTTTTAAGATTTCATCTGCAAGACATTGCTTTCTTAACGAAGTTAGGTGATTCGGTGGTGCATTTTGTGGTTAGGCAATGTACCAGTTGAACGCTCTCTGTCTGATTGTTGATAGCACAATTCCTGGTAGCCAGAAGTTGATCGGGCAGCGAAGCACTCACCAGAGAGCTGTCCATGTTTAACCGAGAGGTAGAAACCTTGACTGACAATAACCTGCATAACTTCATTCCATGCTGAACGAAACCTTTGGTAGATCACACGTAAATCCAATCGCCCTAATGGTACACTAGTTTTCGACTGTCCACTGAATGCAGCGTGCGAATCACCGATGTGGGTTGTTCTAATTTTCTTCCGCTCCTGTTCAACTTACAACGTCGAGCTTTAAGATATGCCAGGGAAGCGTTTTTTTTGAACTTATTATCAATGCAGTGTAGGTGGAATGAGTGCAACACTGGCGTGCATACGACCGCATTCAAGACAGCTTTAAGATATGCCAGGGAAGCGTTTTTCTTGAACTTACGATCAATGCAGTGTTGGTGGAATGAATGCAACACTGACGTGCATACGACGGCATTCAAGATTGCCGTGTTGTAGTCCCTATCTGTTAACGGCTGATGAGCTCCGCACTTCTTAATAGCAAAATACTGCTTCCAATGAATCAAGTATGGTATAACGCTTCCAAACTTGTCGTCACTAGCTGATAGAACAATTGATTATGATTACAGAGTAATCAGAAAAAGCGTCAGGTGCCCTGCAGTGAAATTTCTTGAGTAAGTCTCCTGGCTGGTAGTCCTTACTATTGACGAATAGAAAGGGGAGTTTGTGCTTGATGATGCCACTGAACACGATCAGATATGAAGTATGTTCTGAGCACTATATGTACCAAGCTTTTGTTCGCATAAAGCCGAGACATTCGATGCGTTTTAGTCCGTCAAGATGAACGAGTTTTACATTTTGTGCCTTTCAGTCGAAATTTGCATTTTAAATTCCCGGTATTGATTTTTGGGTTTGTTATTTGGTTATTTATTCTACATGTATTGCGGTAGCTACCAGCTTGAAACGATACCGTCTAGTGCAAAGTGCCTCGTTCCAGCATCTTTATCTAGGTTTCCCAGCTTTGAAAACAATTCATCAAATGTTGCAAGTCACTCAGACATCAAACAGAACACTACGGTTTGTTTCCGCAAATTTTCACTACGTAAGGAACAAGGAGATGCCATCAGAAATAAGAAACCTGAGATGATCCTTGAGATGCCAAAGATGAAATTTCTTGCAGCTGAATATCTTGTTTGTGATACTATTTGCATGTAGGTGCCAGACAAGGACCACTTTTCGTTTCATTGGGATGACATCCAGGATATCAAAGTAGAAGTTTCATGACAATTCTTCATTTATGTGTTTAGATAGGAAGTGAAAATGGGCGAAACTCAGAAACTGTGCCCACCTTATAAAACCCTACTTGCCATTTGGTGAGCTAGAAAAAGATTCTAGCAAACCTATACATGGAGTTTTTAAAGGATTTATTCAGAGTTGCAGTAATTTCTCCTTGTTTACTGAGCCCTTCCGACGAACGCTTAAGCCGCCGATTTAGTTATAAGATATTTTATAAGGAGTTATGCGAATGTGATTGCATAAACAAATTAGTTTTCTCAGAAACAAAAACAGGCTTGTCTTGGTCTACGATTAAGTTGCAGTTTGCGGATGATCTACGCACCATTCATCTTATTTCAGGGCTGTCCTTGAAAGTCATCATGTTGCACTTGCCTTTGAACTTACTCGTAAAGATCCCGATGTCAACATTTTCCAGAATATGACCAGGTAAGTCAAAAACGCTTCTATTCTTGGTACATATAATGTTACATTGTTACATTTGTGACTATTTGGTGTAAAACTTCAATCTAAAGGATTGTGCATCCCACGTGAAAAGGTCGCTAGAAGTTAAGTCTCAAATTATTTCCTAATGACATGAATACTATTCAGTAAACGTGTGACACATAAGCTACCATTGTAGCGGTATTTGCATAAAATACGGCCCCACCTCATCCACCGACAAATCTACACAGACCGTTCACCTTTACAGTTCCACAAAGATCCGAGAATAAAATTAGTTGTTCATGGTATCTGGCAGCTTTACCGGAGGCCTTGGGTGACTTTATCGAGCCGCACAGTTTGAACTTAAGTTACACTTGCTAAACTAGTGAACCACTTATTCGGCATTTGCTTCGACCGATCGATCCAATCTATGTTACTGTGCATTTTCTCGTCTAGTCACATAGCCTCGCTTCATAGTTATGCAATCATGTCCCGGCAAGCTAACAATCCACGATGCGGTGTGACTCGAAGTACAGACACGCACTTATTCGACCGTGAAAGCCGTATTGCCCCACTGTGTTTGCAAATGTTTGAACTACTGATGAAGTTAGTCGAATTTCGGGTGAATATACTATATGTTGGACCACAAGCCACTATCTACGCGTGTTTCGATGACAGGCTCCATTAACCCCATTTTACTGCCGAACAGTCAACTTGCCTAGATTTTCCTCATACCAGACAGTACCTATGAATACTGATGACTGCTATGAGTTTGAAGCTGGTTGGCACGAAATGAGTCCGGCTATCTGGGTAATCAACTGAAACGTGTGCAGTATAGGTTTTGCCAAGCCTTGAGCCTGGTAGTTTAAAAGTACGCGCTACCCAATTTGCCAAGGCTGCGAAAGACCTTCAATAAAAGTATGAAGGGTAATACCGGCCGAAGGAGTCGGTACACTAAGATCTGAGTTGCTTCAATTGCTGGCGGATTAGTTGTTTCATTGAGTCTGTTTCACTACCAAAGGCCAAATTTCTTAGTTCTTTTTATATTACAGAGAGGAATACCGAACAATCCGCGGATACATGGTGGATATGGTGCTTGCCACAGAGATGGCTAAACACTTTGATCACGTTGGGAGATTTGTCAACAATCTAACCAAACGAGCAATGCAAAGGACGCGAGTAAGTTAAATCGAGATGATTTCAACAAATAACTGTAAACACATCGTTGTTTGCCTCAACAACCTTACCCATTCTTTTTCAGTGCCATGATCAGTCATCCGTGGGAAGCATGAGCTCTGTAGAATCCGGATCTGCTGGAATAGGTCCAAGCTCCTCTGCTTCCCAGCTGACTACATCAGTCACGCCAGCAGAAGACTCACTAAGCCAACCCTTGGAACGTTTGGCAAACGCTGAGAATCGGGCAATTCTCAGACGAATTATCATCAAATGCTCCGATGTTAATAACCAAACTCGTCCGTTGGCAATATGTAAAGAATGGGCAAACAGAATTGCGGAAGAATACTTTTCTCAGGTAAGCGAATACCCGGAAATCGTGTAATAAGGTAAACCGTGTCCGGAAACTACCACCTTGGGAGAATGTAGATAGACCCTTAGCGGTGGCGTGGCTCTTCCAAAGTAGCACTTCGTCCGAAATTACTCTGGAAGTTATCAAAACAGCATTCTGTTGGATTCCAGAAACTAACTGGTGCCCGTCGCCTATCTAAAATAAAGTCCGGAAAGCTGTATACCCAGTGTGATGATGCACAGAAGAGCACCCATTTGGGTAACTCTGTCCAGTGAGCGAAAATTAGAGCAGCCCCACGACCCATATAAGCCTATTCGGCACCTGAAAAGCAATCGGAAGTGTGCATAAAACGTAGCTACGAAGCTTAGATTTGTGTATAGCATCCGTCTATTTTGTGTTCGATCTTCCACCACAATGGGCAGCAATTGGTACAATCTTTCTTAGGCAACGGAAACTTTAAGTTGTCTCTTTTGGCACTTCCCTGCCGCCATGATCTATTGTCCGACAAGCTGTCATGTAAGGAGATAGTCTCTTTGGCTGAAAGATAAATGATGCTGTTCTGTAAGTCAACTTTACCGCTGACTATTAGCTTACAGAGTTCCTAATACCACTTAGACAGATACTGTTGGACCCGTCCTGTCGGTTTGTGGAATCAGTACCACTGATAATCCTACTCTACAAAACGCCTCGCCCTCGCAACACAAAGTTATCGAATTCAGAAATAGACTTCTTTTATCCTGGTTGACTGTTTGTTGCCATTGTCTCTAACCTTTAGCCGCCAACCATCTGATCCATATTCATATTCAAGAAGTGAAACAGATCTGGATTGGTGCAAACCTGATGTCGCCCGTACTCAGCGTTGCTTGCTACTGCCGGCACCAAAATGGTCTCAGTTGTGTAGTAAACTTAACCTGGAAGCATTCTCTCTAAATTTCATTAGATCTGTGGTTCAGCTTTTACCAAGAGGCGAGTAGTAATTTACCTCAATAAATGCCATAAAAAATGCATGCAAGCATCCCGTGTTTTTTTATTTTCGTGGCAGAGGTTAAAATCGAATACGCATCACAACCATTCAGTTTGTCATAATTTCACTTGTTCTTAAGTTGTCAGGATAATTCACTGTTCAATGTAAGAAGTTGGCCTTTTGTTGTCAGGAATTTTGTGTTCATCCTAGACGGAAAAACAATTGCATGCACAAAAGCCTGTTTATCATGTTGCGAAAAATCCTTCTTTCTTTCTCTAAGAAGAAATGAATGCTAATGGGATTTATTCACTGGGAGTGAAAGAGCTTTCGAGCCGAGAACACGTTCACAAGAGCCTCCTATTGACTCTGTTTGGTCAGTACAATTGCTTCTAAATTCCCACATTTTTGTTTCTGCTCTCACAGACGGAAGAAGAGAAACAGTTGGGACTCCCCATTGTGATGCCAAATTTCGACCGGACTACTTGCAATATTCCAAAATCCCAAATGTCCTTCATTGATTTCTTTCTGAAGGATATGTTTTCCGCTTTTGATTGTAAGTTGCAAAGAGTTCAAACCAATGCGCACACAACTGTCTCGTTTAAGAGGAAATTCCTTTGATAACAGGCTATTTTTTACTTCAGTTCTGCAGAGCTCACCATTTAAGCTGGAACGGCGAAGTCGGTCAAGATTCTCTCACAGGAGAGACAGATATTCACCTCCTGCTCTAGTCAAACACTGACTAAATCATAATCTGAAAAAACACTTTTGAAAACAGACCAAGCTGAATATCTAGTCCATGCTCTTTCGCGAGTTATTTGGTCCTGTTTGTCATCACTCTTGGATTATTGCGGTGAAACAAAGCAAGACGGGCACCACATCTTTAAACAGTCAACCCACTTGAATTTCACCTAAGGTCTTTGCTTTTGACATTACCGTGCACCAGTTTAGGTTTGCGGGATCGGCTTTAGCCAACCTCTGGTACTCGAAGATGAATGATAGATACTTGGGTGGAACATGACAAAAACAAAAAACGCATTACATGACCGCTAAATTGCCACCATCGGAGTTTACCTCGTTATCGCAACCTCTTGACGAGTTCTAGAACACCCTCTCACTCGTTAAGCTATACAGACAGTGGAATGTAGAATCACATTGTACGACAGTGAGAACTGATACGGCTAGTTTCGTGTGCTCCAATAAATCTGATGTCTTCACAACGTGCAGAATGAAACAGCTTCGATGAATCAATTCTGTTATTATGTTCGTAGTGATTTAGATC